GACAAGGTCATGATGAATGTGCATGGTTAGTTTCACAATTGAACTACCTTTCGCCTGAAATAAGTTTTGTTAGATGTTATGAGGCATAAATTAATATTGAATTAAGCAAGGAAGTTACTTGTGTTGCAAGTGTATCATTCTAGTAACTGTTTGGTTAATCCTGTTGATATTTAAGTGTTGTCTTGTATGTAATTGACTCATGCTGATAATTAATAGTTTCTTTTTCTTCTTTGCAGTGTCAACCCCAATGTCACTAGCAAGTGTCCATCCCATCGAAATGCATAACCGAGATCATAGGTAAGGCAATTTCTGATGTGTGGGGGTAAGACTTGTCTTGTTTGCAGTGTAATCATGTGGGATAGCTTCAGTATTTAACACCACAAATGTTAAATTATGTGAATGAGCAAAGATTGGTATTTTTCCTTCTTTGATACAATTAATATAATTAAAATACTCAAAATTTGACATTTCCAGATTAATAGTGGCAAATATCTTGAAAGGCAGCTGGTTTGACATGTAAATCAATATCAAGTCAAATAAATGTAATTATGGTTTAGTTCTTTTAGCAGTAGAGTAACAGGATGTGTTTTTGTTTCCAGTGGCCTGAGCAACAGGAGTCAGAGTATTGGGAGTTCTTTGGAAGAGCTCCACAACTACTTCAACTCGGATGCTGTTCTGTCCATTGAGGAGCTTCGCCTGCAACTAAACTCCTGTTTCACGTAAGTTTATAATACTACACAATTCTGACTCACAGGAAAGTTAAATTAATTGTTCATGATGTGATTATGAATTTATGTAATTGCTGTATACCATAATAATTTTAAACTTGGTAACACAGTAACTTCTAAATCAACGAAAATCCCACAAATGTCTCTAAAGCATTAATAGTAGGTATCTAAGATGGTTACATTGGGGTTATTAATGTGCTAAAGGCTCAAAATCCATGTTTCTCTTCCTAGAAAGAAATATAATGGTATTCTTTAAAGTGTGTTCTTTTATATTTGGAAAGTAACAGTTGCTTTACATATTTTAGTAAAATTTAGATTTGTTGCCCCAGAACTATGACTGCAGTTTATATGATGGTTATGTTTCCCTGCACAACAGGTGCGGTGTAAGCTGGCATGAGGACCACGTGTCATTGGACTGCAGGGAATGTGGTGGTTATTCTTTGGAGAGACCTTGCCCTCTGTGTGATGGTCGCTGCAGCAATGTCTGGAAGCGGGATCTCACCATGGTGAGTCGATATCAGACTAGTAAGATGAGCATACTTCATGCCAGTCTTGTTAAAGAAGTATGTATGGCAGCAAGGTATTAATTAGAAAGTCTCATTTATTTGCTTGCAGTCTCATGCATCTGGTAAAGCACGCTGGGAAGGTGAGTGCGCGCTGAGACGTCAGCCAGAACCAAATCTCATCTTCAAGTCCCTTGCAGCAGAAGAAGAATCTCGGCTGTGCAGTCGGTTGGAGAAGTTAGGTGCCAGCTCATGACGATGCTCACCACATTAGTGTCAATGGACCAACAGAACAGACAGATGGGCACGGTCTACAAGACCAACTTGAGTGCGTGTTCCGAATCTCGTGTCCCATCATCCCACCTTTTAAACTGCGCTTAGAGTGAGTTGATGCTGCTGAGTATATATGTGATCGCATCAAGAACACGCTCCTCCCCCTCCCTGTTATATGAGACTGAGGCATGATCGTCTGCTGCCAGCGTTGCCATCGCCATCACCATTTCCACCTTTGCTTACAATCAGCTAGGAGATGCATGTACAGTCAGCAAAACAACATTCACCTTCACTTCATCTTCTTTCTTCATAAGAAGCATTATAATTTATTTTTCTGTAACAGGTAAATTCGTGTGGCCGCTATATGTTCGTAATCAGTTTCAGTTAACACGAGCTTAAAAAATGCCAATAAATCACAGCAGAAACTTTTGAAAATTTTATACTGTATCTTGTCCCGTATTAAGTGTATTTGAAACGCTGTTTAAACATTTTGTTTTAAGGGAATAATTTGAAACTTCATCATAAAAGTCAAGATCTGATCCAGTAATAATGAATTTGATACACTTGTATTCCTTATGTTGGTTCATATGCAAACACTTTGCTTATTTAATCACATAGTAACATCTGTATTTGTAAGAAAGTTGCACTCGTCATTAACTTGTCAGGTTTTGTAAAATGAATTTACTTTCAATAAGAAAACCTCAATTATGTTTGTATGCGATGATGACAAATAGGGAAACAACCATTTTTATGGCTTCAGAAAACAAAATTAATGTACTATTGCAAAATATCATGTGCTTGTAGATTTGGGTAAGTTTGAAATATCTGTAGTCTTTTTCTTGTCATGACTGTGGTTAAAGATGTACTTGAAGTGATTTGAGAGTAATTTATTTCTGTGAAGAGTTCATATTGACTGCATTTATATTGTTCCTTTTTTTTGTTAACACATACTTGGGCATCAAAATCATAAGGATTTTTTCACTATAAATTTCAGACTGAAAAGATTATAGTTATGTAAGGTATTTGTTTTATTACTGTACTATGTCTAGATGTTTGAGAAGTAATTTATAATTGTCACAAATATTGTTCTTTCCAAAAAAGACTTGTAATCATTGTTGTAGTCTAATGTACTTCATGACAATTGAATGATGAACAATAAAAGAACTAGTGTTATGACATTGTTTTTATTTTACACCTATAATTTCCTTCTGAATTTCATAAACTGTACCTATTATATATTTTCCATGGTGTAGGCTATCCACTGATAATGTAATGACTAATTTATCTCATGCAGTGCTAAATAATCACAGCAGTTATTGCAGAGTTTATGAATAAATTACAAAAACTGTTAACCAGTGATACACAGTAAACTCAGATTGCAAAATGCTATCACCAAAGATGCTGGAAGTTTTTATCTTAACAAGGAGAGGTAGGAAGAACACTGTTATCATTGGGATGGCAAGTTGACATTGAGGGACTTCTGAACCACTACTGTACCCACACAGTCACAATATTTATAATGTTTTACTGTTGCAAAATATTTAATTGACAGTATGTTCTACTACAGAAATAATTTGATAAAATAACTGTGCTTATAACATCTTCACTGCATATATATTTATATAAATAATTTTCAAAACATTTTATAACTTGTGCATAATTTGTCAGTGAGATCAGTATTTCACAACCAGTGTGCTGATATATGAGTTGTGCTGTGGAATTTTGGATTCAAATGCATTTGTACAAAAATACTGTTTGCTATGATTCAGACTTCTCAGAATAGACACTTTAATCTTCATATTTTGTTTACCTGTAATACATGTAATTTATTACTGGTTGCTAAAATATGACTTAAATTTTTCTGTGAAATCCAGTGCATATTGCAAACAAATAATGTAATACAAATTATAGTAAAGTACAAACAATAATATAAATATCCTTTATGGGCAGTCACACATAACTTCACAATAAAATGTGTGCCTTATGATTTTGAAGTATATTTTATTGTGCTGCCACATGGAAAGGGTTGTGAAACACTGAGTTAATTGAAGACATATATTTCCATTATTTATATGATAATATCCCTGATTGTTATATACCAGCCCAAATCCATACACTGAGCAGGTATAAATGTATTTGGGTTGCTCTGTGTTGTTCATAATGACAAACTGAAAGAAGAGTGGTAGAAGTCATGTTAATGATATGGATTTTTAAACTGCTTAATGTAGTGTTTACAAGGTGCTGAGAGATCTGCATCAATCTCTGAAAGTATAAGGTACAGTCTTGATGTATATAACAATTAAAAATATCAAATAAGGCTTCCATTTATGGCTACCAGACACACAGAAGCTTAGCATGCACCATAAAAAAATCCAGAAATCATAGATAAATATTATGAGTCAGGCTAGCTCAGTCAGTATAGTTGCTGACTATGGCTGAATGACCAAAGTTTGGTCCATGGCAAGGACAAAGGATTGTTCTGTGCCTGAAAACGTACAATTATACAATTGTTATCAAGTAACTAGAAACAAATTTTATCTAGACCCATTAGAATAGACTCACAGAACAATAACTGTGCTTTTACAAATTTAGCAATACCTTAATGAGTAGAAATGCATACTCTGAAGTATTGCTTTAAGAAACAGACTGAAATTGGTTTCTACACTTTCACTCACAGAAAATGTTCTGTTACAGAGCTGCTCCATTCGCTTCTGTTACTACACATTCGGGGTAAATTCATTTCTGTTTTCTAGTTTTCTTGATACTAGTTTGGTGATAGAGAAGCCTGTGATATTAGGATCGAAATGTTCGATGCTGAATATCTGTTTATCCCTTTGCTATCATAATGTACAGTATAATACCTTACTGGGCTAAGCTGATTTATGTTTCAATATTACAAACATCCACATATAACAGAACTTCTAAAATGTAACACCATAAGCACCAGTTTCATTCTTTAGTAGCAGCACCACATCTTGTTTGTACTTAAAAAATTAACATATTAAAAGATTCCCTTCTTTTGAATCGTATATACATGCACCATCAGACTTCATCTGTATACATGAAATTACAGATGAAACTTATAAAAGACAACAAATTTAGTGATAGAATTTTTTAAATTTAAGATATTACACAAGTTTTAAAATAAAGCATTTAAAAGTTCAATGACAGAAATATGACTGATACACGCATGTAACATATAAAATTAACAAGCAACCATAATATTGAAAACCCTTCCAATAATTGCACCTCCATAACATTATACAAGTACAGTGCTTGGCAGTTCACAGCTGGAAAGTATTGTCTATGTAATCATGTACAATGTGGCTACACTATATATTCCAAGTTTTGCCCAGTAAGAATGCAAAACTAAGCTTTTCAGAATTTATTCTAGGGTCCCCAACCATTATGCAAAGCTACTTTTCAAGAATTGTTTTTATCCATTGAGCACTTCATAGTACAGAAACCCATACATTTGCTTATACTAAAAGGAGAAACTAAGCTTATTTAATTCCACTTCCGATTGTCCGCTTTGAGATTATTAAAATTTTAAAGAATAATTTTATTACATTGTATACATATTATTTATACCTTCGTTCAGAAATAATTTTCCACTGTGGTATTTCCAAACATTAACACATGGAAATTGGTTGCAAGTAGGAAAATATTGCTATAGAATACACTTAAAGGATATGGATTAGTGGATTTCATTAGTGGCTAGTGTATGTAAGTTATATTTCTGAAGCCCTGTCCCTGCTTATATCATAGAGTGATAAGCCATAAATTTCTATACAGATGGGGTTAGGACCAGTGATTATATAAAGTAGTCAGTACTAAGAGACGAAGTGACTGTTCTGAAAATTTGGTTACAAATTCATATTTCTATGTGTTGGTATTATTATTAGTATAATAATAATAATAATGAATTGAATTGAATAATAATTATTGTTGTTAATATCATCTTACTTGGGGGATAGTGTTATCACAGTATTTATCACTGACTTTTGATGGAACTAGTCTCTACAGACAAGAACCTCTGATCATAAATATTTTTTATTAAAAATTACATTCATACTGTCAAGAAACAGATGAGTAAACTCCACTGGTTGGGGATCCATTATCTATGGTGGGTTATTCAAACAGTATAGGCAACATATTCTGTAGTAGCCTTCTATAGTTTTATCACACTGTGATGTTGCAAACCTGTGCACTGAAAAAATATTTAAAAATTGCTTTACCAAACTAGTGTGATTTTCTTAAAACCTGTGATCCCAGCTGTTGTCATTAAACTACCAAAGGTCACGTTAAAATCCCCTAATGACATTTCTCAAAACCATGAGTCCAGACTGGTTGCCTCTTCTCTATGAAACTTCGAATTCCTTCCTGACAATCAACCATTGACAGATTGTTCACCATTATCTCTTGCCCATCCCTGAAAACAAACATTTATTTTGTAAATATATATTTGAAAACAGGAATATAAAACAAAGATTTTAAATACATGTGATAGTAAGAGGCAACATGATGTATGTTGGATATGTAACAGATCCATTTCTAAAGAAGTGTGCTAATTAAGTACACTTTATATTAACAATAATCTATACTTTTCATCATGCTACTTTCAGAGTATTAGCTATGCTTTGAAAAATCAGGAAACTAAATGACCAATGTTTCACACACACACTGAATTTTTAGGTTTAAATCTTCTTCATTTACAAACTTATACGAGATAAAATTGCTAGATGTTTGGTGATGTGCTTTCTTTATGTACAGTAGGGTTTGTGATGGTGTACAGTGCATGTATTATCATCCTTTAAATGTGCAAATGCTGTTTTTCTCAACTGAAGTCACCACTCACATGTGCAACATAACATCTGAACAGGAGGTCAGACCTTGAACACTGGTCAAATCCTAGAAGATAAATTCAAATTTCTTACAGTTCAAACCACCTTTTTAACACCTAAGCCAGTGTAATCATGGTGGCATGGAAATTCAATCCTGGCCATGCATATAATAGCCAGCTGCTTTTAATATAGGTAGTTATTTAGCTAATCAACTGGATTTCAAACATCTCACT